TAGAGAGGGCTGAAAGCCCTATGAAGCGGTATATAAGTCTAACTGCTATTGCTACTGCTATTGTTAAGTTGGATTGGAATATCTCTGCTACCCGCTTCCCTCTCACTCACTCTATCAAACAAACACACACACACACACACACACACACACACAAAAGTTGGATTGGATATCTTTTCCAATGGCTTGAAAGCAGCTCCGCTGCCATCTCCCCCCACCATTCTCCCGCTGCCTTCCCCAAACACCTCCCACATTGCAAATGTCGCCTGCTGTCTGGATGGGAAATGCCTGTAATGCAATAAAGCCCACCCGTTTACCTTCTGCTGGCAGGCTGGGGTGAGAGGAGGGACAGAGAAGCCAGAAGGGAGCCGATCCGAGCCTTCAAAAAGAAAGAGGCTGGGGGAAAGTGTGTGTGCTACAACATGGCTCTTTGCCTGGTTTCCTGCCTTCTCCTGTGGTCTCCTCAGTGCTTGTGCTCTCCCTCCTCAAGTGTACTTTGATTGCAGGCGGAGCCATGTTGCCTTTTCAAACTTGTAATCTGTGAAGCTGGGCTGGATTTTTATAGTTTTAGCCAACTGTCTGTCTGTCTGTCTGTCTGTCTGTCTGTGTGTGTCTTTTCCAGCTGCTTCAGAGGATATCAACTCTGCTCTTGCCTTGGGTCCTCTGAAGAAGCCCCGCCCTTGGGTCCTCTGAAGAAGCCCCGCCCTCGCTTCCTTCTCTTGGAGAAGCGCCTTGCAAATGGGCTGCAGGCAGGGGAGTGTACCGGTATGGGGGCGTGGCCATGTCTCGTGGAACGGATATGCAAAAGTACAGCAAATTTCTGGAACCGATACACCCAAAGAGGTGCAAACCGGCAGGAACCCACCTCTGCTACTGAGCCAAGATAGTGCTATACAGTTTTTCTTATAGATAGCTTCGCTAAGTAGTATTTCATTCTTTTTGGATATGAAGAGCTTTGATAATTCTCATTTGAATATAGCTCAACACTTAGTGTCAGCTTAAGTCTTTGTAATGGAATATATGAATGACCTTGGGGAAAGAGGGGAAGAGATGCTGTCTAAGAGACAATCAGACAAGTGAGGCAGGAACCCTTAATGGATTAAGAATCAGAGGAAGAAATTTAGTAAGCCCTTCTCTCATTTAATTGTTCAAGTAGTTAAAACAGTGGTGGAAAGTTGCCCTTTCAAATTTGCAAGATTTTGTTAATGTAGCTTTATAAGAACGTAGAATTAGTTCACCTCCTTGTGTTTTCTGCCTGGTTACCCAAAAGAATAAACTCTACTGTAGTTAACATTCTGCTTAAAATACAATCAGGGATGATTTGACAAGTAGAAAAATATAGTTAATTTAAACTATACAGGCTGCACACTCACTATGTGACTTATATGTCAATTTGAATATTAATTTATAACATTTTAAAAAGGAGAAACATGTACTGCCTTACACAAAGTGTGATGGAATTCAAGCTTCTCATTTACCCTTGGAACTCCTGCCAGAAGTTCTTCAGCATCTCCTCCCCCAATCTGCTCCAAGAGTCTTTCCCAGCTGCACAGAGCAGATTTGGTGGGCCAAGACCAAGGGCCTCCAAACTTGCCAACTTTAAGACTTCATCTCCCAGAATTCCTCAGCCAGCTATTCAAGACAGACAGTCCAGCTTTTTGTTGATAACGCTAGTTCCCTCAACAAAATAAATAAATAAATAAATAAATCCTGAAGCAAGCCCAGCATTGTTGAAGTTCAATATGATTAAGCAAATTTCCACTGTGATCATTTTAACACTGCTTTCAATTTTGGGAAATATAAATACCCACGTAAAATGTACAGACCTGATTTGTAGCAATTTGTTTGGACAATGGTAACATGGTATCAGAACTAATCCCTGAACCAATTATTCAAAAAGAACAGAACAATGTGGTATATAGTAGGAGTACTTTAATTCAATTAATGTCATCTGCACTATTATTTTAAGAATAATTCTTCTGCAGTGAATATAATTAAAACAAATTTATGAAAGAACTGAGCAGTGGTTTGATGAATATTAGTAAATAGTTTTTAGCCCATTCCATAGTAATGGGTCAATACTGCTTCCATTTATATCAAAGCTACTATTTTAAATTCCTGATGCTTTTACCAAAATCAAGTTGAAATACTGAGAGAGACATCTTTTCATTCTGAATACAATGGCATTAAATAAGAATCTGTTCGTCAAAAAATACTCAAAGTACAGAAAATACAAGAAACATTTTATTCACTTTTTCCTATACTATTTCCTGTTGTGTAATTTGATCATGTCTGTTAATTTTAGGAATTTAATATCCATGGAATTATAGATGAAAAAGTTTCAAAATGCCACTTCTACAAAAATGGAATATGTTTAAATCCAAATCAGCTTCTCCAAAATGACCTTGTAGGGAAAGTATATATTTTTTATCTGTTTTGTGCTCTTTTCTTTTGATGGTGTTTACTAGTTGCCAAATCATTTAATTGTAAGCTTCAAGTTAGCATTCCTCTCTCTGCAGGTCTAGAATGTAGTAGATTCTCTGAATCTATTAAAAGTGATATAGCTGAAGCTTGCAAATCACAAAGATGGTAAGTTACCTTTAATAAATGAGTAGCAATCTATTTTACATACCACTGCTTATAGAGGCAAATCATGGATGTACTGTATATTGGCTAATATCCGACTTTTATCAAGCAACTATTAGATAGATCAGAAAAGATAAGCTTTTGTGAATATGTTCTCACAATGCTAGGATGGCAACTGGCAGTAAGAAGATTGCTGATTACAACATTCATTAAGTTTACAAGAAAGCATACTGTACATTTTTTAAACTTACATGCATATTAAGCATCCGAAACAATTATTTTACAGGAGTAAAATTGTGCTTAAAAATAACTGTAGTATTTCTCCCATTAGGAGAACTATTGTGTAAATATAGCAAGGTTTTATTTCATGGTTCACACAAAATTGACTTAATGGAAGACAAGAGTGCTCAGCAATGCTATCATAAGAGTATATAACCTCATAACCAATTCTCAAAACCATTTTTTTTTACTTTTACATAAGTATTATTTAGTAGTATAGTGTTTTTACAATATTATCAAACTTTACCAATTAAAAAGTACAACTTCTAAACAATTCCTGCTTTATAGATAGGCAATGTTGATTATGGTAACTGGCTCCTAGTTGTCTTCTGGGTCTCCATCACCTCAATAATCTCTTTTTTATTGCTTCCTGGATAAAGAGCTTCTAAGACTAATTAATATCAGATACTTTGTTTTAATTTAACAAAAATGAAAGAAGCAAATCAGATTTTTTTTAAAAAAAAATACAGTCCCCAAGTAGTTGAATTATAAACCAACAAAGTGTTTGACTTACATTAATGTAAAGCACTTTGAAAGCATTCCTTCAAATCTTCATTTCTAAAGTTCTTCTCATGCTGATCTTTTCATCCCTTATACCAGGGGTCTCCAAACTTTGCAAAGTTAAGACTTGTGGATTTCAACTCCAAGAATTCCCCAGGCAGAAGGAGAATACTGAGAGTTGAAGTTCACGAGTCTTAAAGTTGGCACGTTTGTAGATCTGTGCTTATTCAGTTACCTGTCCATGACCTCTTCTCATTACAGGAGAAACACCTGGAATGCCAATACTCAGAGCTGTGATCACAAAAATAATACATGGAAATGATCTTAGCCTCTTGATCTTAGCCGTCTTCCCCCAAAAATCCAAACCCCCACCTGAGATGATCCTATAATATTCAATAGTACAATAATGTTGTGTTTAGCCTCTAATAACAATATTGGAAGATTTTCTACAAAAAAATTGTTACAGTGTTTCTTTTTTCCCACTTGGCTAAAGAGATGTAAATATTTATTCCATGAGCAAAGATAGATTTATCTCCTTTCTTTTTAAAGCTTTATCAGTAATATGAAATGTAATACTTATTTTAGCCATAAGAATCAAAATCCATTTTGCAATATAAATATGCAATTACATCTAGTACCATTTCATTGGGCCTCACACATCAATTTAACTCAAGTTTTTATAAAAGTAATATGGAACATAACATAGCTTTCTAATTGCTTGTCTTTCTAAAGATAGTAAGATTAATTAATATACAAATATTAACACATTTTTTAATATTCAAGACATTGTTTATATGATGAAGCCATTTTAATACTTTATTTTACAACAACGTGAGTGATGCCAAGTAAGAATATTAGCTTGATCAAACGTGCAGAGATTCATTCAAGTCACTGATGGGACGGCCACAGAATATTCTCTAGGAACTGAGTTGTGGAGAAAACTGTTGCATTTACTATATCGTGCATTGGAAAATGTTGGATAAATTCTATTAAGGCCAGTGCAAGTCTTAAGCATTATCTTTTTAGCTTTTAAATGTCTAGTTAGCCTGTAAGAAAATAGATGAACAGTAGCAAGAACATACATTTCAGACATTCTAAAGGATTAAAAATATCACCTGTCACTCTAACTTTTCTATTCTTTCTTCTTTATAAATGAAACTTTGTCTTTGGTTTCTTGTATCTTTTCAGTTATCCTCTCTTTTGTTTCTTCCATTTTCTCAGTTAATTTTTCTTTTGTTTCTTCCATTTTGCCACTAATCATGTCTCTTGTTTCCTCCATTTTCCCTGAGATCCGTTCTTTTGTTTCTTCCATTCGGTCTTGAATATATTCCTTCACGGGAGGTGGTGTGGACATATATTCATGCTTGCGAAGATACTTCACAGTAATGGACGTTCCTCCTAATGTCACTGTGTATCTGGCTGGAGTTGCAATCTTGTCAATTAAAAACATATAAAAACATTAAGGACTCAAGTGACTTTAAATTGAATTGTACAATAGCATTCATAGGCTTGGCTTTAGCTACAGCTCTTTAGACACTGTGGCTAGTGATGTTAAAGTAACTCTAGCAAGGAAGTTCTCCAAGCTATTCAAAGCATTTCCTAAAGAGATACAGGCAGATTTATGCATTTTAATAAGTCATTCAGTCACTACAAGAGCAAGCTGCTCCCATCAGCAACATCTGTGCCTCCCAAAATCTACTCTGAAATGCAGAATGCATCAACTGCAAAGTACTTTAGGGGACTGTTGAAGATGGAAAAGAAAGCTGAATTTAGTCTCATATTTTATCTGAATTATTTTATAGCTCTTAAAGCTTTGATAGTTGAGTTTCATTTGAGTAAAGTTAAAAATAAAATATAGTCAAAGAAATTACATTTACTATAGGAATACAATGAAAATTTTCTCTAGAAGAATAATTCCTAGAGACCAGATGAAAACTTTCAAAATATTTTAGGAAAGAAAATATTATCTCTGTATGAATTAAATAGGACATTTACGCAGTTTTGATTGTCCTTTTCAATTTTGCACTTGGTGTGCCTCTTCATTTTTCTTTCTACCCAAATAATTATTTCCACTTTTTAGTTTTATGTATTGACATATCATGACATATTAAATGAGAAGATATAAACAAATTCCTTGGTTTATGATTCGGTGTTTTGTATTCTTTTAAACATTTTCGTTATTTAAAAATTAAACTTAAAAATAGTTTTTTTTAAAAAATACCCCCCTACTTTATTTAATAGCGTCTTACTGGCAAATATTTAGCAAATACTTTAGCATGGATGGATGGAAGAGATTCAGATCAAATATATGGCATTAAGCAGAGAAAAAAAGAGATCTGAGAAAAATAAAAAAGAATTTAGTGTCTCTCTGTGTGTGTGTATTTAAAATCCTAAATGCTATTGAGCCAAGAAAGTAACTCTTTATAATGCACTAAAGCAATACTTTTGTCTTTAAATTAGTGATATGTAGAAATAAAAAAATTAAAATTACATTTTTTGTAAGAAAAATACTATTTTCCAAATTTGTTCTTTAAGGCTAAAAATCAGAAAATCCATTTTAAACTAACTATTGCCAGAAAAGATACAGTATTTAAACCTAAAATTTAGGGCATGTAAAGATTAACAGTATTTTATGTCTGGGAATTTCTATATTATTTTTAAGAGATAATTTTTAAATTATGAATAATTCCACAGAGCCAGCACTTTTATGTTGTCAAATGGCATTGATATTGATAGTTTAAGCCACAGAGTCATACACTCACAAGCACATAAGCAAATTAAACAGTATTGCTTTGCAATGAATTTTGCCCTTTTTATTTATTAAGAAAGGTCAGGATGCATTGCAAAGTAAAACTATTAACATTCCATTATTATTCCACCGTGTGGCACTAATAAGAGTGCCAGGGTAGTAATGGAGACACTGATGGGAAAGCAAGCCTTTGTCGTGCCAAAGGCTAATAGAGGGAACTGCAAATGACGTTCCTGGAGCAACAAATCTAATCTTACATCACTTGTTAAGAATGTTTGAAGTTTGTGACTATCTAGATTTTGTAAAAAGTCACATTTTACTAAACAAGACCAGATAGTATAAAAGTTGTGAAATATAGAAAATTTAAATGGAATTTTTTTTTTTAGATAATGATACACTATCCAACAGCCACCGTCAACCCTCAAAATGACTTCAGCCATGCTTACTTTCGTTTAGGTTCTCAATTGCCACTTTGGAGGGAGGGAGGGGGCGAGTCAGAAGGAATTGAAATGTGGTGCCTTAACCTGCTAGACAAAACATTGACCAGAATCCCTGTGAAAGCCAAGGTCATGGCAAGGAACATCTGCTGAGATAGAGGGGGAAGCTGCTGCTGGACTAATTGGTTAACGTAACCTAAGACACCTGAGGGGGATGGGAAATTAATATTCTTTTAACTACCCTAAAGCACGGGAATTACTGAGAGCTAGCTTCAACTTTCTATGCGCCAACATGATGTACTCAATAAAAGGTCTTTTGAGCCTGACTGAAGCCTCAGAGTCCTGATTCAATTGGGTTCATTACTCAGAACCATGACATCCATTCAGCAAGTCTGCTATAGAACTACACTTGGACGTGATTTTCTAAGGTTCTCCTCTCCCTGCCTTGCCAGTTGCACCCCAAATCTCCTCTAGAGGATCACATGCAGTGAGGAAGAAGGCAATCTGATAAGCAGAATGCTGCCATAGAATACAACCCAGTGTCTACTTAGTTTCTAAACAGGTGTCCTTTTCATTACTAACCTTCTTCCTTTTTTAATTCCTCCGGCACTGTTTTTTTTAAACTTTCTTACAAACTGCTTTTAAAATATGTTTGTATTCAACTAAATATTTTCTGTTACATCAATTTTAACATATTTTCTTTAATTATCATATAGAGAATTTATTTTATCAATTATAACATTATTGTATCTATTCAGAGCCTTCATGACAGAATCTATTCCTCAGTAATTACATACATACACAATTGTCTACTTTGAATGCAAAATTCCAGAGGCTCACTCGTAATTTTGTAGGGATAGTCTGAGGTTGATTGATTCAGTTTTCCTTAACCCATCTCTGCCCACAAATTCTAGGAGTCTGCCACACATCAGAATGCCCCGAATTAAGGAGGTCTAATTATTTAATGTGATTCTTGGTGCTTTGCTCTGTTTGTCCTGCTAATATTAGTGGGTAGTGATAGTTTTCTTCTTGGTAATTCCTTGATTAGAGTACTGTTTTCTGCTCATTTGCCTGGTGCTAATCCCTGTTTATCAGGGTATTTTTGCTGGAGTGGATGCATTCTGATCTTTTTGTTTCCTTCTTAGCTTTAAACTCTCTCTTTTGAATGGTTTGTGAATGTGGTTTATCTATGTATCTATTGATAGCTGATTTGTTTAATGCCAAACTTCCACGAATTTCTAAGTGTTTTTGAATTTAGTTTTCTCTAGGATGCTAATAGTTTTCCAATTGAAATGATGGTTGAATTGGTCCATGTGTTGTGAGATTAAGGAATTTTCATTATGTCTTCTAACTGCTAGTTATGTTTATGTTCAAATTGCTAGTCAGATAATGAAACAATGGCGAGCAAACAACAAAGCTCAGAGAGCACCAAGGACTTCACAGTTCAACTCTGAGCTATGGATATTCTCTTCTATTGTAACTGTACATTAAAATATTCCTGTCAGTAGCATTAAGAAAGTCATGGATCTACTTACCTTATACAACGCATAGGCAGTTAATGCATTTCCACTTTGAGAATGCTTTAGGATGTTTACAATACTTTCAGGCAACCCTATGAATTCAAGAAATGGAACGACATTTACTCCCCTGTAAAATGAAGACATATTAAAATAAATTACAACATTCCTATTTCAGTCAACTTTTTTGTAGTTATAATAAAGAAGGATTTTTACATTTGAAAACAAATTACTTTTTTCCTCAACTGAAACAAAGTAATGGTCGATAAGATTATAAGAAGTAAAGCATGAAGTATATCATGTACGGAAGATTTCCAGATTTGAAATTAAATTTCAATATTATAAAACTATGATTTGCAACCCCTGTTCCCTGCCCTAGGGATCCGGGGGGGGGGGCGCAAATGATACAGATTCCAAATTAAATGTGTATGTATATAGAATTATAAATATATCTAAATAGCAAAAATATCACCAGATTGTCAATTTGATATTTCAGGTGGGAAAACCAGCAATTTAGAATGTAATGATTTTATATGGCTCTGCTTATTTTTACCTAAATTATGAATCCTAAGAGCACCAAATGAAAAGGATCAAGCATACCATAGTACCTGCAGGGGCCAGGTTGATGATCTTTGACTAATATAGTGGTCTTCAACACTGATGATGTAGTGCTATGAATTAAAATGTTAGGAATCATCTCTCTAGGCTATTCAGACATAACTGACTCTTAACTATTGTCTTTATTGTGGTAACTCAAGGCCAAGATGAATGAAAGTATTAGTCTTCATGGTATACTATATGATTCGCATTAAAATAATTTTGGAATGCTTGCCTCAACCATATAAGCTAATACTGAAGTAGCTAATGCCAAGTTTTAAAAAAATCAAAATTATATCTGCCATATATCAACTTCTTGTCTAAACAAGCTACACAATTAGTTAATATGTCTTAAGAGAAAAATATAGTCAGGTTCTTCTGAAAACATGAATTAAACATTATTCTGAACATGTAGTCGCCATTAAATTACAACTGAGTATCAAATGTTAAGCTTGGTCTATTTGTACCAATGAACTTTAGCTGATTTCAAACTACTTTAACCTGAGCCTTGGAGAGTTATTGTTGGAAACATTACTGAATATAACTCTATATGAAAAAGTGAAGTGTCACAACCCTATATGTTTCTCTGAGAAGAAATTCAATTACTGTTTCTTTAAGGCTTGGTTAAAAGACACTGGACTGTCGACTGGAAAGTGGGCAGTTCGAAACCCAAGTACTGGGTGAAGGGGTGAGCTCCCATTCTTGCCCTATCTCTGCCAACCTAGCAGTCTGAAAGCATGCAAATGTAAGTAGATAAATAGATATGGAAAGGTGGAAAGGTAACAGCATTCCATGCGCCTTGGTGTATAGATATGCTGGCCAAAAGACCACAGAAATATCTTGGGACAATGCTGGCTTCCTTCAACCCGCTAGAGCTGGACTCAACTGGGTCCAACCTTTACCTTTTTATAATGTAACCATGCTTTTCTTTTCAAATTGCTTTCTAGTCCAACCCTCTGCTTAGGCAAGAAGCCCTAAACCACTTTTGATTGGCAGAAAGTTTTCAAGGTCTTGAAATAAGATTTGTTAGGATAGAAACTTAACTGTTGATCTGTTTGGAAAGGGGTATTCAAGATAACAGTAAATAAACAGCTAATGAGCCAATTATTGGCAATGCTGAAGTGAAGATTTATTCATTTTAAATAGGTTACAATTTGTGGCCTCTCATAGAACAATTATAATTAGTGAGCAGAAGGACAAGTGTCTCTGACATCAGAAGGTAATATAACTGTTTTAGTTATTCTAACCAGATGGCATTAAGTGCCCTTTCTAAAAGCAATAGATCTAAATGTCATTCTAAATTTATCCCTTCTCAGGGTAATAAACAGCCAAGCTGTTTAAAATTTTGTTTCCAGATATATCTTTATCTTCAGGTATTAAGAAAAAATAAGTAGCTGGTTTTGTTAAGATATTACAGACATTAATTATATTTACGTCTTGATCATGTAGCTTGATAATTTTAAACAAATCTAAGGATCTATATTGGAACTCTACAATATTAATGTTTGTTTTTAGTTTTCAACAAGATATATTTTAAATCTACATAAGACATTCAAATATATTTAGGATCCTTCTTGCAGAACTACTGAATTCATACAGCATAGAGCCTTTAAAACTCATTTAAAGTGCTAGTCTACTCATATGTCCATGGGATTAATCCCACTGAACTTTGTCACACTTTTGTGTATATGGCAGGGGTTCCAAATTCGTAACTTAAGCCAGAGATATTTTAAATATTCACTAGTAAGGTTTAGAGCATGAATGCAAGCATGCAGCAGAATTACTGAGCAGAGATCCTATTTTATACATTAAGTTCACAGCCCTAGCAGATATTTTCTTAAGTACTAATTAAACCTGTACTACTTATTTTAGCTTCATCATTAGCATTTTTACATGTTACACAATACAAGAAACTGCTCACCTTTTGAAATAAAACTAGGATTAAAACAGAAAATAAAACATCAGAACTGCTATAAACACAAGTATAACTTCCTATTTTATATATAGAGTCCCTCACACTACTTTTTTTTTCATAAGATGACATCTTATTGTCTTATTTTTACAGGTAGTTTCCGATTTATGCTTACAATTGAACCCAAAATTTCTATTGCTTCAAAGTTTTGTCCCATTTTTCAACCTCTCTTGCCAGTTATTCAGTGAATCACTGCAGTTGTTAATAACAGTTAAGTGAATCTTGCTTCCCCATTGCTTTGTTTGTCAAAAAGTTGTAAGAGGTGATCATATGATCCCAGAACATTGCAACCGTCATAAATACATGCCAGTTGCCAAGCATCTGAATTTTGATCATGTGACCATAGGGATGCTGCAACGGATGTCAAATCACTTTTTTCACAACTATTGCTTTGAACTGTCACTAAATAAATGGTTCTAAGTCAAAAACTATATATAATGCAAACATCTTATCCGTTTTAAAAACATTATGTTTTATTGCACAAAGTAAATAAATACTTAAATGTTGACTTTGTAATTTTATTTTGAAAAATAATAGAGATAACCATGATTTAAAATTGCTCTTTTTTTCTTATCTGGTAGGCCAGGAACTAAATTTGGAGCTTTCTATAACCTAACAGAAGTTGCATGGAAATAAATGAAGTATGGCCTCCTTCACTACCCACAAATCCTACTTTCCCCTAATCAATATAGTGGCACAGAACAGGAGTGAAGGAAGGAGACCTCCAACAGAAAGAACGTCAAATTTGATAGATTTAGCTAAGAAAATCACAAGGCAATTTTTACAGAATTGTATTAAAATTCCCATTGAGTTCAAAGAACTATTATTAGTATAAACTTACAACTTTAATCTATTAAAATCAATTTTATTTTAGAGTATGCATAGGCATTTTATGTGTATTTGGGCTTCCTACTCAGAAAAGTTACAACTCCTTGTCTTGTACATCTAAATGCATTCCTTTTCTCATACAAAATCAAGTATTTTCATAGCAATTGTTCAAGTATGATCAGAGATTTTTGATAATGTTCTAAGATTTTTTTTTTCTAATTTCAACTATGATAAGTTCCAGACTCTTTAATTATACTCTTCTTGGGGATTCTTCTAAGGCTTTCAATAAGCAAAACAGTGTTCGTTAACTTCTTTGATATCTATTCTGTGCCATTTGCTCCATCCTTCACTGAATGCTTGGCCAATTAAGATAATACACATTGTTGTTTTGAAAGGAAATACAAGGTAGTGCTGGCTTTTCCCTTTCTTCAGGTCCATCCTCCCCAAATTTATGTAGTTTTTTTATAAAAAAAGTATACAGCATGAATTACAACAGAGAAATTATCATCGGTGTTCTGCATATATAATAGCTCTGCACTTACTTTAAAGCTGCATAGTAAAAAATTCCAAACCATATGCTGGAGGTCAAAAGATGCACGGGAATCAGAACTTTGCCATACTGTTTAAAAGTTTTCTTGAATCTTTGTACAAGACTAATGGATTTATCTTGTAAAGGGTCAAGTTCCTCAGAATTGGGCTGCACAGGTGTTCCCCTGGCAAAATTACCAGCCGACGTGGTAAAGTTTTCTCCCTTCGGTTCTTTATTTTGAGGGTCTTCAGGTCGGGAAGATGTCTTGCCCACCAAGTCCCCTTCTTTGGAAACCCAAAAAGGAGCAGACATATGCAGATATTGACTTTGGCAGCTCAGCACCCGGGACATTGTTTTCTGCCTTATTGGATGTAAGGATGTTTTCCCTTTGATGCATGGAAAGATACAGGAGCGATAGGAAAGCAAACAGGTCCTAAATGCCAGCTGAAACGGCTTCTGCATTTTGGTTGATCGTGGCAGCATTGTGCTGATAGTTTTGTATACAGCTCCTAAGAAATATTAAGAGTTGAATTGTTAAATTAAGTGAAGAATTATCCCTGCTATCATAATTACATAGAAAAATTGGGTCACCGCCTTAATCAAACTGTAAGTTAGTATAATCAAATCTTGAGATATGTAATTTGCAAACCTGATTTATAGAAAATTCATATACAGTAATTTAGAAGGTGAATAGTCCCTTTCTCCAAGAATTCAGTCTTCCTGCTCTGGGTTGTTCACCAGCTATAATTTATGTACAAATAATATAATAATAATACTCTTTCTTCATATTTCCTATAGTTCATAATACAAAATCATGGTAAAAAAGCATCAGAATCCATCCAAGCTTTCTACTGAGAATTAAACCCAGCACATTTATTGAAACACCTTTGTATATCAAAATCTTTCAGTACTTTCAGCTGTATGTTCCCTGCATTTTACAAGGTATCAAAAAAGCCCAGGTATTCATAAAATACCAAAAATATTAATTACATTCTATGACAAATGCTTATATTGCACATTAGTATTAATTGCACATTAGTATTAGTTGTAAGTTGGTACAATGCATTAGGCATAAACATCTGAAGTTATAGCCTGCCCTCTAATGTATCATTTTAGCACTACAAGAAGTGTTGTGAACGACTGATATAACAAACTTTTCCCATGCAAAGATTTTCCAGTGGTCAAATTACAATATAACTGTGGTTTAGTTTTCTTTTTCCTAAATAACAATTGCATAACTTTTTCTGGGAGTTAACTCCATACATAATGAAATATACTAAAATCTCTGATCAGTTTTATTTAATTAAATAACTTTCAAATTAAAATGATTCCATTTTCTTAAAGTGTGACCAAATTTTGTCATGTAATACATAAGAAACATGTTTGGCAGTTAGTTTTATCTACTTATCTAATTGGTTAACCAATATCAGTTTATATATGCAATGTGTTTTATGAACTGATCCACAGCAATTCTTCACCTAAAATGCATTCTATTTATAAAACATAAGAAAAAGAGGTAGTTTTGATATTATTTTATTCCAATGCAGGTTATGTGAAGAATAATACTAGTAACAATACTTTATTAAATATACCAAAGCAAAATTTGAACTCCCAATTTGAACTTGAATTCAGATCAAAGTTATTTCTCAAACTGGATTTAATTTGCTTTATAGACTTGAGCAGAAACAGAATAACAGAATTTGAGTAAACATATTATGACTGGAAAGTCAAGTTCAAAACATACAGAAAATTAAAATTAAAATCTTACTTAAATAATGCAATCACTTTCTTGGATAATTTCCTACTATAAAATAAAAACTTCAAAGTCCCAATATATTACAATGATGATTTTCATTGACTATTAATTAAACCATAAAAGTTACTGTATCAATAGCATTGTGAAATCTCACAATGCTAACACTACAGTATAGGACTTATCATAAGGATTATAGATATTACAAAGACAATTTACAATGTTTATACCAGATAAAAGTCAAATGATTAACAGCACAACATTAAAGTAGTGGCATTAAAAAAAGCCATCTGAACTTCAGAAATATTGCACTATTTCAATCCATTTTTATTAGCTATACTTAATCCCAGTTGGTCAAATCACTCAAATCACTCACTTTTAAACTTACGGTAATACTTAAAGCTTCTTACTGAATTAAAAAATGTGACGTTATTTAAGGCTCATTGCTACTGAATGCTAATCTTGCTGCCAATAAATAAAACACAAAAAAATTCCCTGTCTTCAATTAGATGTCTATAATAATTGTCTCTTTAAAAAGGATAGCCAATTGAACCACGGATGCTAACTAAGAGTTTGTTTATCAGCTCATAATTAAGAATAGATTTGGAGCAAAAATACCATAACTTGAATATTTGAAAATCTTGTGCTCCTGCAAGTGATAACTGTTTACAACCATAGAAAGCACACACACATTCACTTGAAATAGAATATATGCTATTGTGCCTTTATGTCCAAATAAATCATTAATATAGAGTATCAAATAAGTAATCTAATTTGTCAATAGTTGTACAAAGACAGCTATAGTAGTAAGGGGAAAAAAATCCTCACCAGTTTACAGCACTCTTGGAACAGATTTGCCACTAGGACAAAACATTACAGATGCATTATACCATTGGAAGAGAGTCATGATTAAGTCATTGTCTTCAGGAATGTTATAAAACCTCACAACGAATAGATCTAAATATTCCTTCAACCAAAAGACCTTCAGCTTCCAGTAAGAGCAAAACCTACAAAAAAGATTAGACATTTTCAAAACTGAGACAGTATTATTCACAATATAATAAATTAGCTACTTTGGCTTACATTATAGACTAGGACAGACTTGATGTTAAATTACTTGGCATTACACAGCATTTTCTGAAGTACGAGATAACAATCATATTATGATTATAAGCTAAGATAAAGTGCATTCTTGAAGGTATCCAAAACTTAAATTGTAAAGAAAATCTACACAGTCAGTCCTTAAAATAAAATCTATTCTATGAAAAACCTAAGGACTCAATGTAGTTTCAGTTTTGATTCAGTAGTAAGGGGCTGGATGTGATTTTTAATAAAAACAGAAAGGCTAAGAGGAATTTCTCCACACATTGATTCTTTTTGAATTTAAAATAACATTTTAGCAATAGCAATAGCAGTTAGACTTATATACCGCTTCATAGGGCTTTCAGCCCTCTCTAAGCGGTTTACAGAGTCAGCATATTGCCCCCAACAA